CCTGATAACCATCCCACCAACTATGCATGCTTTTTGACCTCAATGACTTTCTAGTCCACTTTTATGTCTACTGCCTCACAATTCATAAGCTTCACTTGCTTCACTTCCTTCCTTAGTACCTTGATATTAGGTCCATGATTATACCACTCTCTCACCCACCCTCTCAACTCCTATTTTTCTTCAACTATAGCAAAATCCTGCAGGACCAGGGATACTGAAAATGGCTGTCAGCAGAGATCGATGGCATTACAAATGCACCTCTCCAGTCTCATTCCAGGCTTCAAGCATTAATCAATGCTTTTCCCAATCCTCTCACAAATAATCCAACTTACAATACTTAAAAGCTCTCCTAAACTCACTTACACTACTTTCTTATTTCTAAATGACCAACTTCTTCCTGCCCTCAAAAGAAATTAGAAGTGAGAACAAAGGCTCTAAATTTTTCTCCCTGCTTACACACTTAACTAAGCCATTATTCCTTCCCTTGAGGCTCACCTAGAGTGGGTTTTATCCAAATCACCAAAAGTGCTCAAAAAAAGCTCACCCATGTTGCAAAGATAAAATCCCAAATCAACCCAGAGATGTGCCCCTATGCACTCTAACAAGAATATGGGGTTTGTTTGTTTTTTCTTTCAGTACAGAGAACTGAACTCAGGACTTCTTGTTTGCGAGGCAAGCACCGTATCAATTGAAGCTATACCTCCTGCCACATTTTGGCATTGGTTATTTTCCAACAGAGTCTTAATTTATGCCCAGGCCTGCCTGGGCTTTGATGCTCCTACTTATGCCTTTACACATTGTTGGAGACAACAGGTACAAGCCATCAAACCCAGCCATGTGTTGCGATGGAGTCTCTTGAACTCTTTCTTATGCTTTAGCTGGACTCAAACCAGGATCTTCAAGGCCCTATCTCTGCCTCCCAAGTAGCTAAAATTATAGACGTGAGTCATTGTGCCTGGTTAGAGGGATACATTTTCTTTTCTTTTCTTGTTGTGCCACCATGGGGTCTAAGTTCAGGGACTAAGCACTGTCCCTGAACTTTTTTGCTCAAGGCTAGTGCTCTACCACTTGAGCCACAGCTCCACTTCCAACTTTTGGTAGTCTCATGGACTTTCCTATCCAGCCTGGCTTCAAACTATAATTCTCAAATCTCAGCCTCCTGAATAGTTAGGATTATAGGCATGAGTCACCGACACCTGGCTTCAGATACATTTCTCTATCTTTTTTTAAATTTTGAAAATACCGTACAGAGGGGTTACAATTACATAGGCAAGGTAATGAGTGCATTTCTTTTTCTTTTCTTTTCTTTTTTTTTGTCAGTCGTGGGGCTTGAACTCTGGGCTTGGGTGCTGTCCCTGTCTGTGATCTTCAGCTCAAGGCGAGCGCTCTACCGCTTGAGCCACAGTGCCACTTCCGGTTTTCTAGTGGTTTATTGGGGATAAGAGTCTCATGGACTTTCCTGCCCGGGCTGGCTTTGAACCGCAATCCTCAGATCTCAGCCTCCTGAGTAGCTAGGATTACAGGCATGAGCCACCAGTGCTTGGCTGATGAGTGCAATTCTTATCAAGCATTGTTGCCAACCCCTTGTTTCCTCTTGACATCCCTTCCCATCTCCCCCCTCTCAGATACATTTCTTTTTTTTGGGGGGGGGTCCAGTCGTGGGGCCTGAACTCTGGGCCTGGGCGCTGTCCCTCAGCTCTTCAGCTCAAGGCTAACGCTCTACCACTTGAGCCACAGTGCCATTTCCGACTGTTTTCTTTTTGCTTATGTGGTGCTGAGGAATCAAACCCAGGGCCTCTGGCATGCAAGGCAAGCGCTCTACCACTGAGCCACCTTCCCAGCCCAGAGTTCAGGCCCCATGACTGGACCCCCCCCAAAAAAAAGATGATTTTAAGCGAAATGAACCCCAAGATAGGGACACAGTCATTTTTTCTTTCTAGCTATTGTTTTTAATGTACTTATAATGTACTATTTGATCTTTTTGTTTCTTTTGTATGTTCTTCCCCCATGGTATAACCCATTTTCACTGTCTTTGATTCTGGTGCTCTGCATCTTTATATACATTTTTCTAGTCTGGGGAGGGGAAGGGAAATAAGAAAATGCTTAAATAAGGATACAGGTTGACTCATTGTCAACCAGTTGAAAACTATGTTCAACTATGTTGAAAATAGACTTTACAATTTCGGGATTGGGGGTAGGGAGGAGTTGGGGAGGTGGGGAGCGAAGGGATGGTAGGGGAAAAACAAAGGAGGAGGTAACAAGGCTCAATAGGAAATATGCTCATTACCTTACTCATGTAACTGTAACCCCTCTGTACAGTATTTTTACAATAAAAAACATATATGTGTGTTTTTTTAATCTTTCCAAATAGGGAGAGATAAAGTAAAACTCTCCCTGCCTCCCCCGCTCCCCCAAAGAACCCAGTATTAATTCCAGGTTCTAATCAGTAGTGAGAATCACAAAGAGTAGTTATATACTTTTTTTTTTTTTTTTGGTTCTGGGCTTGAACTCTTGGCCTGGGTGCTTGTGCCTCAGCTTTTCAGCTTAAGGCTAGCACTCTACCACTTGAGCCACAGCACCACTTCCGGCTTTTTCTGCTTATGGGGTGCTGAGAATCAAACCCAGGCCCTCATGCATGCAAGGCAAACACTCTACCGCTGAGCCACCTTCCCAGCCCCTTTTTATTTTATTTATTTATTTATTTATTTTTTGGGGGGGGTCTGGTTGTGGAGCCTGAACTCTGGGCCTGGGCGCTGTCCCTCATCTCTTCAGCTCAAGGCTAGCGCTCTACCACTTGAGCCACAGCACCACTTCCAGCTTTTTTCTTTTTGCTTATGTGGTGCCTCATGCATGCAAGGCAAGCGCTCTACTACTGAGCCACCTTCCCAGCCCCTAAAATCATCTTATATGTCATATGTACATAGCTTTTGACCTTTTTAACACTGGGTTCTAAATCTCTTATCAACAAAAAAAAAAAAAACCTTCCTTCTATTAATATGCAATTAATAGAATTCTCATTTAAAAGGAATTTTGGAGGGCTGGGAAGGTGGCTCAGTGGTAGAGCACTTACCTTGCATGCATGAAGCCCTGGGTTCAATTCCTCAGCACCACATAAACAAAAAGAAAAAAGCCGGAAGTGGCACTGTGGCTCAAGTGGTAGAGCGCTAGCCTTGAGCTGAAGAGCTGAGGGACAGCACCCAGGCCCAGATTTCAAGCCCCACGACCGGACCAAAAAAAAAAAAGGAATTTTGGAGCCAGACACTGGTGGCTCATGCCTATAATTCTAGCTACTCATGATTTAAGGATCACGGTTTGAAGCCAGCCAGAGCAGAAAAGTCCATGAGACTCTTATCTCCAATAAACTAAGTGGTGGAGTGCTAGCCTTGAGCAAAAGAAGCTTAAGTTCAAGTAAAATTAATAAATAAGGAATTTTGGCAATGTCTAGTCACTGACCCGATTAAAAAACATATTCAATTAGGAACTCTAAGACTTGCTTAGGAATATTTCAAGGTGAGAGCCTGGGATAGTAATGGAGAGATGCTAAAAAAAAAAAAAAGGTGCAGGAAGCCTTGCACAGGTAGCTCACAGCTCTGATAGTGCAGAGGCTGAGATTTAAGGATCCCAGTTTGAAAGCAGTCCAGGCAGAGAGTTCACAAGACTCCATTACAATTAACCAGCAAAGAGAGAAAATATAGCATTTATAGAATGTGTTCCTGATTAATAAATGTAGGAGTTGAAATCATTACAAAACCATTTTGCGGGGCTGGGAAGGTAGCTCAGTGGTAGAGCGCTTGCCTTGCATGCTTGAGGGCCTGGGTTCAATTCCCCAGCACCACATAAGCAAAAAGAAAAAAAGCCAAAGTGGCGCTGTGGCTCAAGTGGTAGAGCACTAGCCTTGAGCTGAAGAGCTGAGGGACAGCGCCCAGGCCCAGAGTTCAGGCCCCATGACCGGACCCCCCAAAAAAAAAAAAAAGAAAAAAGAAAAAAAGCCAAAGTGGCGCTATGGCTTAAGTGGTAGAGCACTAGCCTTGAGCTGAAGAGCTGAGAGACAACGCCCAGGCCCAGAGTTCAGGCCCCACGACTGGACCCCCCCCCAAAAAAAAAATTTTGCAACCTCCAATGGTTGGCATGATTTCCATTATGTGCAAAACATTGGTCAAAGTAAATGGGTGACAGGACAGCATAGTCTTGAACTACCACCTCACAAATATATTCAATATGAAGCGGAAAATGTATCTTTACAACGGAGAGATCCAGAAGTTACTCTCTTCATCAAGATATCATTTGGTATATTCAAAGGCACTTAAACCAAACTAATAAAAAGCTAACAGGAAAATCAGAGAGCTTTATATTCTTACTACTCAAAATTTGACCCCAAAGCCAAAATCACACTATCTGGAGTGTGTTGGAAATATAGCACCTTAGGCCCCATTCCAGACAACTAAGTTAGAATTAGAATGAATTTATTTATTTATGTATTATTTTGTGTGTGTGTGCTGGTATTGGGGCTTGAACTCAAGGCTTTGCCCTTGCCCAGCTAGTTTACTCATGGCAACACTTGAACCATGCCTCAGCCTGTGGCCCTTTGGTAGTTATTTTGGCGTGGAAGTCTTGAGAACATTTCTGCCTGGCTGGGTTTGAAACTTCATCCTCCAGATCTCAGCCTCCTGGGAAGCCAGGATTACAGGAATTTATGTATACTTATTATAACCAGATTGCAACATGACTGATTTCAACAAATAATCATAAACCCAATTATTCTATGAAATTCCAAGTAATCTTTGGCAACTATAGCAATGGGTCAAATCCAGCGTACTGCTTGTTTTCATAAACAATTTTAACAAGACACAGTCATAGTTATTCATTTTTCCATTGTCTATGCAGAATTGAAAATTGTAATAGAGACTGAATGACCCACAAAGCCTAAAATATCCACTATCTGGCCTTTATAGAAAAAAAATTCAGGGCCCCTTCTAGAACACAAAGTCTGTTGTACTCACCTGAGGTGTTGTCTTCCTGTATTGATCACCTCCATCTATCACATCCTTCATGATTTTTCCCTTGAGATATTCATACTCTTCTGGACTTAGGTGAATAGATTCTAAAGTTTTTCCACAGCCTAAACACTGACCACTGCAATTACAATGTTTTTTATGTTAAATAATGTCCTGGAAAAGGACTTTTTCTAAAATGAATAATTCCTATGCTGAGGAAACTGAAAGTCAGTGAGAACTTAAAACACTGGTGATTATTATGTACATACAATTTTTTGTAAGCCTAAAAATATCACAGATCACTGTACCAAAAAATCCAAACAAGTGCTTGTCATGCACCTGAATAAAACTTTTAAAATAATTCTGGATCTCTAGGCATTCACACACACTGAGATCAAAGGAGGACACGCTTAGGGAAGGAACACAAAGGCACAATGCCTCTGGCCATATAAAATAATATTTCCTGAAATGAACTCTAGAAAATGGAAAAAGGAAGTATCCATTTCTTTTTGTCTTGTTTGTTCACTTATCTATCTTTGGGTACAGATATGTAGGGGGTAGAGAAACAAAGGGACAAAGGGTAAACAAATGCAGCAATGGTACTCACTAGACACTATGTTGAAAATGAACTATCCAACTGGTGCATGTGGACAGGAGAGAAAAACTGGGAGGGAACCATGGAAGGGGTACCCGACTTTTGAAACAGTAACCCCTCTGTATATCATCTTTATAATAACAATTTTAAAAATATTTAATAATTTTTTAAAAATTCCTGAATCACAACTGGGGTCCCAAATCTTTAGAGGCAAATACATTTACAGACTCATAATACCAACAAGAAAAACATTTTGACCATTACAGAGTCTCTGTATACAAAATATGGCTTTTTTTCTCCTCAAGCACTCTAGTGATACATAATATTAATTAATTATCCTATTCCTAAAGTGTTCTTAAATATTTTTAAATCAATAGCAAGAAGAATCAAACAATTTCTTTTTTTGGGGGGGGGAGGACAGGGGGGTCCAGTTGTGTGGCCTGAACTCTGGGCCTGGGCACTGTCCCTCAGCTCTTTGGCTCAAGGCTAGCGCTCTACCACTTGAGCCACAACGCCACTTCCGGCTTTTTTCTTTTTGCTTATGTGGTGCTGAGGAGTCAAACCCAGGGTCTCATGCATGCAAGGCAAGCGCTCTACCTCTGAGCCACCTTCCTAGCCCCTCAAACAATTTCAAAATAAACAAGTTAGCAATAACCTGAATCAAAGAAGTTAAAAAAAAGCTGAATGTTGGTCTATACCTTTCCTGGATTGTGGTGAATTGTCCTTTCCATTGTTTTCCAGGCATACTACAAAAAAAAAAAAAAGATCAGAGGACTAAATCAGCAAAAGTTGTTAAATTCCAAGGAAACAGAAAGATATTCACTGTATTTAGTAATTCAGTAAGATCTACCTCTGAAAAGGTGAGGATACTTTCTTATCAATGTTTGATAAGATTGGTTGTTATCGTGTGATAGAGATAAAGGACTGGTGGATCCTACTATTCATGTCATTCTTTCTGGCTTTGCTGCCATCCAACCCTGTCTCTTCCAAATCTAAATTTACCTTCTCTGGAGCTGTAGAGGAAGCAGATGACCTGCTGGATGGTGATGACTCATGCCTATTATCCTAGCTATTCAGATGCCCAAGATTTGAGAAATCAAGGTCTGAAGCTAGCATAAGAAGAAAAGTCTGAAATTCTTTTTTTAGTCAGTCATGGGGCTTGAATTCTGAGCCTGGGTGCTGTCCCTGAGCTCTTCAGCTCAAGATGAGCACTCTACCACATGAACAACAGCACCACTTCTGGTTTTCTGGTGGTTTATTGGAGATAAGAGTCTCACAGACATTCCTGCCTGAGCTGGCTTTGAAAAGTGATCCTTAGATCTCAGCCTCCTGAGTAGCTAGGATTACAGGCCTGAGACACCAGTACCCAGCTTAAGTCTGAGACTCTTATGTCCAATTAACTAGCAAAAGTGGGGAGTGGAGGAGTGGCTCAAGTGGAAGAGTGCCAGCTATCAGCCAGAAAAAAAAGCAGAGTGAGAGTATGAGGCCCTGAGATCAAGCCCCAGGACTGACAGAAAGAGAAAGAGAAAGAACAAATGACCTTAGTAGTATCATCTCTAAATCAAAGTCAACTCTCCCCTATTCCATGAAGCTTTCAGAGTAATTGCTCCTGTTAGCAATGAGAGTAACGTCTCTCATTTTTTTTCTATTGTTTTATACCACTGTTAACTATCAGATACTATATTCCTAGTCAGGTGAGAATGTCAACATAAAGATATTATGTCACAACCCATTTAGAGTACCTAACCTTAATTTTGGAGTCATCAAAGAATTATTGCTTCCTTTTTTTGTTTTAATCAGCCTATTCTTTTTTTTTTTTTTTTCCTTGTTCCAAGGGCTTGAACTCAGGGCCTGGGCACTGCCCCTGAGCCACTTTGTGCTCAAGGCTAGTGCTCTACCATTTGATACACAGCACCACTTCTGGCTTTTTCTTAGTAATATATTGGAGATAAGAGTCTCACAGACTTTTCTGCCCTGGCTGGCTTCCAACTGGAATCCTCAGATCTCAGCCTCCTAAGTAGCTAGGATTATAGGTGTGAGCCACTGGTGCCCAACTAGCCTATTCTTTTCCTCTTTGGCGGGGAGGGGAAATGGGGGTGAGGGAAGTGGTGGTGAGACTGGGTTTTGAACTCAAGGACCATTCTACCTTTGAGCCATATTCAGTTTATCCTCTCCTCCTTCATTATACACATATTATGATCACTTTCTATTGATTATATCACCATCTCCTCTTACTCTGTGTGTGTGTTTGCACATGCATGTGCACCAGACTAGTACTGGGGCAACTCAAGGCCTCACACTCTTTTGGCTTTCTTGTATGCTTACCATTTGAGTCAGGCCTCTACTCCAGTGTTTTCCTGGTTAATTAGAAATGGAGTCATAATGGACTTTCTGCCTAGGCTGGCTTGAACCTTGATCTTCCAGATCTCAAGCCTCTGAGTAGCTAGAATTACAATGTGTTAGCCACTGGCATCCTGCTCCTCCCAGTTCTTAAGTCAGGACCCCATGTTATCTCATTCAAACAAAAAGTTGTATTTAAACAAACATCATATTTTTAGTCTTAACCCCGTCTAATCTGCTTCCCATTATTTTATCAATTACTTTTCTAAAACTACACTCCAATCAAAATTCTTGATAACAGAATAAAATCCAAACTCTGGAATGCTGTTAAAATTAGAATGAAGGCTGGAGTTATGACCCAAGTGGTAGAGTACCTGCCTAGCAAGAACAAGTCTCTGAGTTAAAATGTCAGTACTGAAAAAATAAACCAACAAGTTATATACTTGAGATTAGACAGAATAAATACAGGTCTGTACTTCAATCGGATTTCAGAGGACCTTCTAAAATACTAACACAGACCAATAACAACTCCAGTAGAACATTAAATTCCACTCTTGCTACAATTTCTAGTCACAGATACATCATGCTATATTAATCTGAAAAACATTTCAGAAACGACTTCAGAAAACAATAGTTCTAAAAGAAAAAAATAAAATTTAAGTGCTCTATAATTACTGTTATGTAAGAGAAGAAATTGAATATGCTATTTTTTAGAGACCCAAACAACATAAAAGAGGGGCTATTTGTAAGAGATAAATATTAAAATAAATGCATGCAAAGAAAAATCAAAATTACCTTTCAAACCATGTTTTTATACTGTGTACAAATGATTCTCCAGGATACAGCTGGTTATTTCTTAGATACAAAAGGATGTCTAGTAGTTTGTTTGAATAGTGATCATCTTTTATGCCTTTTCCAAAATCAAAGAAGGCTTTTAAAGTTTCCATCATAGGAATAATATTATGCCCTAGCAATTCCTGATATAAATTCCAAGCTGTGTCCACATCTTGATGAAGGAGAGCTCCCTGGATACAGTCACTATAGTTCTTTTTTGAAGGGATCATGACTTTTTTCATATCCTCTAATAGCAGCAAGGCCTCTCTCCACCTGTCTGAATGGATTAATCCCCGGATAAGAAGACCGTAACCTGAAGATTCTAAGCGCTTGTATCTGGATTTCATGATTTCATAGACATCAATAACTTCTGATGTTTGCTTATGAATAACACAGAGATACAAATACTTTACTAGTAAATTATAACTTACTATTCCATTGTTTTTTGCTGCTACCCATGCCAGTAGAGATTTAGCCACATCTATTGAGGCATGGCACTGAGTCATCTGAGAACTGATCCAGTCTTCAAAATTTGCCTTTCCTTCAAAATCTTCTTTAAGTCTATCCCACTCCTCTGAATTCAAAGGTTTTGTTGGGAGTTGAATACTGCTTCTCTCCTTGAGTAAGGCATGATCTTTACTCTGTAGATTAGTCAACAGTGATCTCTTCTTAGCAGCTCCAGCTGCAAAAAGATAAGAAGAATCAGAAGAAACTTGCTTCTTATGGTCCTTGTCTCCTTTCTTGAGAAATCTGGTGTTGGCAATCAGCAGATCCATTGCTTTGTTATTCTGTGGAGACATAGTTTTAAGAGAAAACCATCTCTGTTGGCTCCTGATGGCACAGTAACCAGGGGAAAAGAAACAGAGAGAAGAGTGCCCTGGGTCCAGCTCAAAGTAAGGTTTGTTCTTCCACAGCTTAGGAAAGCTTCGAAAACCAGACAAACAGAAAGCCATTCTGCAGTGAAAGCAGCACCGGACAATGAGTGTAATGTTTTCTTTAAAAAATAAAATAAAAAAATAAATTTTAAAAGGCCTACTTCTACATCAAAATGATAAACGAAGGGACATGGCGTCAAAGAGCATCTATCTAAAGACTTATTTCTCCTTTACAAACAAATGATGGTTCTTCTTTGGGGGTTATTTCAGTATCAACAAAAGTGAGTTCTCTCCATTGAACAGCAACTAGGGGACATCCAACATTGGTCCCGAGCACTAATCCAGGGACAGAACAGGATTCCTTTGGTACCTCTTACATTCCAATCTGCGAACCTGAGGCAAAAGCACAAGAAAGAATGATTCAAAATGGATCACTACGGTCCTGAAAATGATCAGGACTGTACAGGAGAGGGAATCGGAGAACAAAGTTAAAACCGTGACCAGAAGACCCTCAACCTTAGCCCCATAGCAGTCACAATGACGAAAAACAGTCTAGGGATCCCCGCTCAAGGTATGCCTCCCCAGGCCACAAAATTCCTCAGACGGGAGAGGAGAACTGGTGAGGTAGGGAGTCAGCGGAACCAACAACTCAGATAAGCAAGTGGGGGCCAGGAAGACCGGCGATTTGACCGTGGAATGAAGTTCATTCAATATCTCACTCAAAAACTTGTTCCCACAACTTCATTCAACAACTCACCACAGCACGCTTAACGCAACCATAAACTCGGCAGGAACTACAGGGTCCACAATGCACTGCGACGTCCCACGCATGCGCAGGCGTGACTGATAGGAAAGGCCTTCTGCCGGGCCTGGAGGCGATTAGAGGGGGAGAAATGGTGATTTTAGAGATTTTAGTGACGAAGAAGGCTAGAGACGGCTGATAAAGGTTCTACTACACTCACGAGACCGTGAGGGCTTCTAGATCAGTGAAAAAAGATACTGAAGATCTAGCTGCGTTCCGGCGGGAAGTGCGGGAGGAACTACCAGATCACGTGGTGCGCATGCGCCAGGGACCCAAGCTGAAGCATACGTAGGCTTCTTCGGTCTGACCTTTAGAATCGGGTTTGGTAAGGTTGGGACGCCTCCTTGAGAAGGATCACTTTTTCCCTCTTTTTTCCATGTCTATTTCCCACCTGTGAGCGTGATGGTCGCATCCACAATAGCTACTCTACAGTAATCGCTTTTTGCTTCTCTGACAGTACTTCCGCCCGCGTCCAAGATGGCTGTGGGACGACGTTCCTGACATCCTGTGGGTTCGGCTGCGTCTGACGTAAGCGGCAGCGTCTGACGTAAGGGCTGGTAAGGGGTGGAGCAGTCAACAAACAGCAAATGCGGGTGCTGGTGAGCGAGAGTCAGCTATGGACTGGAAAGAAGCGCTTCGCCGGAGACTAGCGACTCCCCGCAGGGATCGGGAGGGTGAGTTTGGGAGGAGCAGCTGGCTGGGGTGGGGAGAGCTGAGAGGAGGAGCCAGTGGGAGCGGTGAAAACTCCTTTGTCTTACTCTGTAAAACTGACCCAGGGAGGCGGGAGTGGAATAGGCTTTACTGAAAAGAACAGGCTTGACTCGAACTCCTTGGGAAGTGAAGGAACGAGAAGCTTAGCCGTAGCTCCTGACTTCCATACTCTCTGTCTCGACTTGTGAAGAATAACCGAGAACTCAGGCTCCAGTCAATTCTTCCACGCGCGCGTGTTGCTTGTTTTAAGGATCTCCTTATGGAGCCCAAGCAGGCCTCCCATCTGCTTCCTACATTTTTAGCTTCACCGATGTTAGCCATTTTAGATTTTTCAATTCATTTTTCCTTGTCCCTTTTCTCTGCCTCCTTCACACTTTCCTCATAGCTTCTCAGTTCCACACCTGCACTCCAGGCAGGTGCAATTGGCTAGATAGAAACAACCCTAGTGAGTTGCAGTAACTTTTAATCCATGTCCACTAGGCTAAGATAGATAGCTTAGTCGCATTTGTCACCTCCCAACCATAAGTGTGGTTCTCTGCCTCCACTGTTGGAGGACTGTCCAGGCTTTTATTTGAGAGCCCCTCCCCTCCAGCACCAGATCATATTTCCTTACTTATATTCTCTGACTTCTCTCCAGCCTTTTCCTCAATTTCTTTCATAAATCATCAAATTTTCGTTCCCTTCTGGATCACTGCCATTAGCACCGACAACCGTATGGTAATGTACCCTATCTTTAAAGAAGTTCTTTGAGCCAGGTGCTGGTGTCTCAGGCCTGTAATCCTAGCTACTCGGAGACTGAGATCTGAGAATTGTGGTTCTAAGCTCTATACACTAGATTCCCAGTAATTTTTCCCCCAGTACTTAGAATTGACCTCACAGTCTTGTGCATACTAAACAAGTGCTGTTCCACTGACCCACACTCCTAGCGCCAATAAATATATTTGGTAGAATTAATTAGGTATAGGTCTATATGAGAGGTGGTCATTTCAGGCAGAGACAAACCATAGTGATAAACAAAAGTGGGCTGGGAAAGTGGCTCAGTGGTAGAGCGCTTGCCTTGCATGCATGAGGCCCTGGGTTCGATTCCTCAGCACCACATAAGAAAAAAGAAAAAAGCTGGAAGTGGTAC